AGAAGATTTTAAGCTAGGATTTTAACCAGAATTTTAAACATTTTAACTAATTTATTTAACATGACGCGGGAAAACACCCGAGATTTTAATTTTTTGCATATACACACCCGCGAAAACTTAAGAAGACACACACACACACACACATATATATATATGTATGTATATTATAAGCTTATATAAAGAATCTGAAATAAACAGCAAAAAGCTAAATAAGATTTTTGATGTCAAGAAAGTTATAAATAAACTAAGGGTCATGATAAAATTGAAATATTGAAATCTTACAATAAAATTTTGGAATTAATTATAAAGTATACATAGCTTCTTGTGGGGAAATAGATCCTCTTTTGGATTTTAGAAGACCTAACATAGATAAATATTTTCATGATTTCAATAGGTAGACACTAGAGGAATTAAAGAGTTTAGTTAGAGGAAAGATATTCAGGGCCGCAAGGGGTGCAAAATGGATGACAATAAAAATAGGAGACTTCTGAAGAATGGAATCAGAAAATAGTAGCCAAAATACCAGCATTGTCAGTAATGATATCTGCTTCTATGGATTATGTATGAAATAAGTTATTGAAGAAATATCAGTTGTAGAACAAATCTTATCTGACAAGATAGAGATGGCATTGAAAGTGGATTTAAGCTAACTGGACAAGGAGATCATTTAGAAAAGGTCTATTGGTTAGGCACCAGGCTAGAAACCAGGAGACTGTGAGTTCAAATCCTGCCTTAGCCATGAAAACCAACTGGGTGACCTTGGGCCAGTCATTCTCTCTCAGCCCAATTCACCTCACAAGGTTGTTGCTGTGGGGATAACACAGGAAGAAGGATTATTGGGTATGTTCACTGCCTTGAGTTATTTGTAAAAATAATGAAGGCAGGATACAAATAAATACATAAAATACATTAATAAATGTTCCACTGGGTCTACAGAAGGAACTGGCTGAGGTATTAAAATTTAAAAAGGAAATACAAATGACAAACCAATAGAGTGACCTAGATAATGTTTTTCCTACTAAAGTTACTGTTAAATATTTGAAGAACTCTATCTTTCTTTAAATTTAGTTTATATTGGATGATACTATTATAAATATATAATGTATATTTTATTATATCTATAGATATGAAAGAGAGAGAGAAAGAGAGAATGAACACATTTCTATTCCAACCATGGTAGAATACTAACTTGCAGAGAAAAAAAGTGTTAAAATTTATACTATTGTAGTATCCGGTATTCTGCCATTAAGACTCATTATATGGGTTTGTCTGATTATACAAAACTCACACCAACTTTGTTCTTCCCATATATATTTCACTTTAAATATCACATTATCAGATGTATGAATCTGCTATATGAAATTTGAAGAACAAAAGTGCAAAAATCCCTGAGTAACAATTAAGCTTGTCTGTTACAGATCCATTCAAAATGACTGAACTTTCTTTGCACTTTTAATCCTCTCTACATTTCCTAGCACCTGTTCAAGGTCTCTGTGCAATCTGGCACTGCAAACAAGTTTAGGTCAAGAGGTACAAACCAAGTAATGGGATGAGTTTTCACCAACATTGTTTGGTGAAACAACATGACAGTTTGCCAGTTACACAGAACTTCTTAGCAAAACAAACAAAAAAAGCCCTAAATCTTTTGCTATAAAAGGTTATTATAAAATGCAAATATATTAAAATAATCAGTAATTTTATAACACCTAGTTTTTGTTTTTTTTAAAATTTGATTTATATGCCGCCCTTCTCCGGAGACTCAGGGCGGCTTACAATTAAGCAATTGTTTAGTTCAGTAAATATGTAGCCCCTTTCATATTTATGGAAACATGTAGATTTATAAAACTATGTCAAATTCATATAAAAACAAACTATTTTAACCGAATATTAAGAAAAACCAAATAGCCTGAAATTGTTGCTGGATTACAAAAAAAAATTAGGATGACCAAAAGAGGGCAGCAAAGATTACCGGTTTTTTCCGCATATTACTTTCCTGCCTTCTAGTGATAATTTGATTGCTTGCAGCCCTACCTTTTGTTCTTCCCATTTATATATTTCATCTTACTAAAAATTGCACTCAAGCAACTAGTTTCCCTGGGGGTTTTCATCTGAACAAGAGCGGGGGTTCCTTCCCCGGCTTCAGAAGGGAGGCTTTTCCTCTGGGCTCTGGGCTCCTAGTGAGCCCCGCGAAGACGGCGGACTTACTTCTCGTAGTCCAGGCGGCAGTAAAGCTTCTGCTCCCGGTAGAAGCAGCTGCTCTCCAGGGGTTCTCGGCAGGAGGCGCAGCGGACGCACCGCTCGTGCCACAGGCGGTCGTTCAGGCGCAGCAAGAACCGCTCCGAGATGACGCCTCGGCAGCCTTCGCACACCGAGCGCGGCCTGGCGGCTCTCCCTGCAACGACCCAGAAGGACGGTGACCCTCGCGGCAGCCGCCGCCGCCCCGCCCAACCCGCTGCTCTAACCCTTCGGACAAGTTTCTCGGGCATTATATTGCCCTGCACGTCTCCGATTCGTTTTTAACGTTTTGGGTTCTCTTGAAGGGTGGACTATTAGAACCAGGGAAATACCCAAGGTGGGTGTCCTAATGCCAATCATTCGGCCAGCCTTGCTTTCCCTCTCCTTCCAGGTTTTTCCACAACGTTAGCCTCCGAAATAAAGCAAATTGGTCTTACGGTTGCAGCTGCAACAGGCCGCCTTAGGCCCGTTTTCCCCACAAGGCCTTCTTTTCCCAAACATTATGGGTGGGGGGGATCTTGAGCCCCCCTCCCCCCCCAAGGGACCCTACTGCCTCCTGTTCCGATTTGCCCCAGGCTCAGGAAGGTTTCGGTATTCCTCCCTTTTAGATCAAGGCTACGTGGGAAAGCTTTGCATAGGTGGTGGGATTCATTGCCATTATAACCAGGGAACATCCTTTCCAGCCTGTCCCGCCACAGCAATGAATTCTTGTAAGTGGCTGGTTTTGAGCTGCGGCACCTATTGTCCACCCTAACGGCATGACCTGGAGGACCAAACCCGGGGAAGTTCGAGTGCCGCAGCAGAGTGGCCTTCAAGAAATACTTTCCCTCTGCCCGCCCACCCCCAAGATTCTCATGCCCATGCCTGCCACTGAACATCTTGCCCCAGAGGCAACTTGCAAAGGTCCCACTGCTGGCGTTTGACATCAGCGACAGCTTCACTGAACTCAACCAACTCCCAGCCCAGTTTCTATATAGTGGGGTGCTAGGGAATCCTAGCCTCCCACTATATAGATCTGAAACTGATGCTAGGCGGCCTGTCTCCTTTTCCTGCCTCCAGTTAGCCGGAGAGCCTTCCCTGGGGCGTGGTTTCTGCGCCACGGCCGCCCATCTACCCTAACTTTAAACCAATTTCCGAGCTCTTCTTTCTGGGAAGAAATGTGAAACTGTCTCTCAAGGCTTACAAACCACTCTTGCCTTTCCTTCCTCTTGGCATAACATAAGATGTTGAAATGCATTCCCTGCTTCTCCTGCTCCTGGTCTTTTTCTCTAGAAATAGAGGTGCTTTCCTCTCTCCCTTTCAATTCCATTTTTTTTGTTGTTGTTTTAATTTTAATGAGAGGCTCCATTGTAAAACTCTGGCATGGGAGTGATTTCCCTCCTGTTGGTGTCACAAAACTAGCTTTCTGGTTGCATTTTAACTATTTGAATTTCAGATGATGACCGATTAGGTGGCCTGGACGGAGATGCTGTTTTTTTTGGGGGGGGGGGGGGGGTTAAAGAGAGGTTCTGGCGCTTGAAGACCGAAGCAGGACTCGGTATTGGCCAGGGCCAGGATTGGTAGCCATCTGAAGTACAAACGAATGATTTCTCTCTCTCTCTCTCTCTCTCTCTCTCTTCGTCTGAAAAATATCTGTGTGTCCATTGTGAAATAATGATTTATTCAAAATAGTTAAATCTTGCTTTTCTGCTCAAAGGCTCAAAAATGTCAATTTTTATTTAGGGAAAACCGGTTGCTTTCAAATGAACAATTAGAAGCATCCCCCCCCCAAACTATCTTTTTTTTTTTCTTTTGGAGTGGAGAATAAAATAAAAATTTAAACAGTAAAAAAGGAGGAATTAAAAAGAAAACTGAACCCGTTCTAATGCAACCCTAACCTTAAAAACTTGCTAGAGAGGCGCACTATCATTGCCCGTTTTTTGTCTTATTGTGCCTTGTAAATCGCCCTCATTATAAGGAGTGAATCCGCTGTGCATCTTCAGAAGAGCCTTGCAAAGCGCATCCACAGGAAAACAACAGCACCGAGGCTCTGGACAATCCCTTTCAAGCCTGCCTCAAAACCTGCTATGAAACAAATCTGGAGAGAGGGCCTTACTTACTTTTATTAGCTACAATAATTATGATGAGTATCTGTCCAATCCGACCCCCTTTATGCTTAATTTAAATGCTGAGATTTGATTTCAGTTATAATTTTCCTTCATACATAATGCGTTAGTTTAATCGTTAATTAACGATATTAATTAGAACGATCTGTACATATAGTACATGCACGCACACACATAAGTATCTGCTAATTATTATATTGTATTTTCTTATCTGTCTGTTGGGATGAACAAATGCTGAAGACTTCAGTGTCAGGTAATTCTTGAACTTTTGTTTTAAAACTGTTAAAGGGAACAGCTGTCTGTCTTTTTGACACGCGCGGGAGAGAGAAACCCGGTTTCTCTTTCTCTCTCTCTCTCCTCCCCCCCCCCCACATTTGTTTTCCTGGGGATGATTTTTGAGGCAAAACCGGATAATATAATCCTGTTCCACCATCACATCTAGCTGTCGGCTTCTCCGCCGGCGTCACGTGCGGAGAGGTGGCAGACACACTTGGCACTGCCTTTCCTTCTTCTTCTGGGGGTTTCTTCGTTGAGGAGGGCAGAAGGGTCCTGCCCTCAGGCTCTACAAAGGAGAAGGAGACCCGCAACGGTCGGGGCCGGCCAAGGCTCAGAGACTCATCCCAAATCTGGCCGAGGTCCGAGCCTACTACCGGTACTTACCCAGCAGCGGGGTAGAGAAAGGAGACGGCGGCGGGGGCTCCAGGGCGTTCTGCAGAGTTTCCTCCATTTTCAGGCCGCCCAGCCTGACAAAAGAGGGCGAAGAAAAGCGCTCCGATTCCGCTTGCAGAAAAGAGAAGAGGTCGGTAAGGCAAGAAGTCCCCTAAACGGTTTCCCAGCAAACCTCCCCATCAGCAGCACAGCGAGCCCTACTCCAGGCCCCAAGGGACACCCCAGGCCGGCTGCCGACTTGCGCTCCGCTTGCCTCCCCAGGCACCTGAGCTGGAGCCTCCGGCGCTTACCTGCCAGCCGGAGTGGCCCCGCGGCGTAGAATCCAAAGCAAGCCCTCTCTTGATCGGCGGCGCAGAAAGGGCTTAGCATCGCGCCTTGGGCGGGAGGCCCGCGGGTTCGCCCGAAGGCGGCTAGAGCCCCATCCTTGCGCCTGCCTAGCCCCGGGTCAGGCATTGACAGCTTTGCCCGTCTTTGCTGAGCTTCCTGCCCTCTGGGCGGGTCCCTCCGTCGAAGGCCAGCGGGTGCTTTCCTCGGGGACAAGCGAGAGGCATCCCTGCCCCAGCCCGTGCCTTGTACTGCTCAGGTAAGCCCGGAGAAGGGCCAGAGACAGCGGGGGCTTTTCCGCGGCGCCGAGGAAACGGGGTCAGATGTCAGGGGCAGGAAGGGGTGGTCCTTGGCCCCCAAGCTCGGTAAACGGGAGGAGCAGCGCCACTCCCGGCCGAGGGGAGGTGGGGGTGAGGGTCGGGGCTTGGCGTTCCCCGATATCAGCTTCCCACTTTACAGAAGAGGGATCGAAAGCGACTGCGATGACGTCGCTCCGCTGGACCTACCCGGTCTCAGGATCAAATCTTCGCGGTTCCTACTTTTGCAGGACTTGGGTCGAGGTTTTCTTCTACCGCCTCTTGGGTCAGTCCCCGCTACCTGCTGCTTCAGGTCAGCCGGCCCGGGCCAGGTTGGGAGCCATTCGCAGGGAGCATCTCAGAAACGCGCGTTTCTTTCCGCTCAGTTTCCCTTCGGGCAAACGCTTGTCTGCCGGCAGGTCTCCCGAACGAAATCCAGACTCGGGCAGAGGTTTTCGACCCGCCGACTACTTAACCTGAAATTGACTCGACGCCAGGACGATTCCATGCGCGCGGGGTGGGGGTGATTATATGATGGCTTCAAAAATGCCATTCAAGAAATAAGGCCAGCGAGCCACGTTGATCTCTGGCCCTCATCTCGGAAGCCACACGTCCAGCCCACTGCGCTGCGCGGAATAACTTAAGAAAAGTTCGTCTCTGCCCCTTCGCCTCCCTCAAAATGACATATTAACCTAGGCATGATTGAACAATCAAACTCCAAGGATGAAACCTAGAATCCTTTTCATAAGTTACCCAGGGAAATTGTTTCCGAAGTGAACTCCCGGAACAACGCCTAGCCCTAGTCCCACAGTACCGCCCGCTTGATTCCGTCTTCGCCTTGCAAGGCAAGCCTATTCTGACCCCTTTGGTGCCGCCAGGATATCGTCACCCCAGTGGGATCGAGCCACTGTGCCCTAATTCCCCCCTTTCCCTCTCTAGCCCGACACATATTTGCCTGGAGCTGCGGCGGTCCTGTAGCCAGGCGTCCCAGTCGCGTTTCTAGCCGAGTTGGCCGTGGACCGCAGTGCCCGCCATCCCGGAGGGGGTGGGGGCTGCTGTGAAGTCCTTAGCTGGCAGGGCGTTCTGTTGGAAAACTCAGGACGGAAAGTTTCGGGACACTGAAATCGTCCCGCCCGCTGTCCCAAATATCGCCTCGGCACTTCGCGGTTTCAGATGCAAGGTGGGACGAGCAGGTGCGCTTTGTCTTGGGCATCATCTGGTCTAATTAGTTTGGAAAAGGAGTTTGAAGACAGACAGTTGACTACCAGCGACTCCAGGGAGGCTGCTCTCTTTCTCTTTCTCTTTCTCTCTCCCCCACCCCCGTTCCAATTCTGCTCGGCATTTCGAGATGGCTTGCCGGTTGAGCCAGAAGTGAAGGACCGAACACCAAGCGTAATAAGGACATTCCTTGCAGCGGGACAGGTTCGCTTTCCAGGCATTGCATGGAAGATTGTGCAGATGTGACCCAAGTGTCCCGAGGGGCTTCTTCACAGGATGATTTGACAGGAAGAAACGGGAGAACTTTGCACCATGGCCTGGCCTGACCAGATGGGTCAGGTTTGGGTCATCTGAAGAGCACTCTAGAACTCTCCTTTGGTATGACTGGTGGATCTCTTTTGGTGATGTTCATTACCATCCAATTGTTTTTGTAGTTCTAGAGACCCTCACCAACTTTCCCGGCTGCACACTGCCTGTTTTACTAAATGATGAGGGCCTTTTCCCTTCCAAGTGGGTTTGGTGGAAGAGTGAATCACAAGCTTCAATATAACCCAGTACCTGTACCAGTAAGAAAACCATTGGCTTCTAAAAGACCTAAGTTTTCATGTTCAAAATGCTCTTGATATTAAACACATTTTTAAAAAAATAATCAATCAATAATCAATCAATAGTCAATCAATAAATACAATGACTGGTTTTATATTCCAGGATGTCATGCACTTTTTCAGCCTTTTCTAATCAGGTCTTCTGCAGATGTCTGAGAGCTCTCAGAAACCCCACCCAATATTATAAAATGGGATTTAGGGAGCCCAAACTATTGGAGAGGGCTTGGCTGGGAAAACATAGTATATTCTCATTATATTCATAGAATAGTAGTAACAAATATTGCTTCTGAGGGGGAAAAAACAGAAAAGAAAGTTGAACTTCATTGTATTTTAAGCAAATGTTTGTGGATTAAGAAAACAAAATAAATCTGTTTAACAGAAAAAAATTACTAGAATCCAGAACTTCTTTGATGTTCTGTGCAATGGAGTTTAGAAAATAAACTTGAAAGTTAAGTCACTGTTAGCAGTGCTTTTGTTCCAGTGAATTTTTGCTGATTTATGTTCAATAAATATTTAGATCGAAAACCGGAAAAAATAACCTGCTATTGTTTAAGGTCAAAATAGGCATTCGAGCACTGTATGTTGAACAGCATATTACACACAGGTAGTCTTTATTTAGCTACCCCAACTGGAACGAGGAACCTGATTAAGTAAAATGTTTGCTAAATAAAACATCACAATTTTACAATTTTACAATTATACTTCATCTTTCAATTTGCTTTACAGATCTGAAAAGATGACAACTGGTCATAAAGTTACTTTATGTTAAGTTACATCAGTGTAAATGTGAATGAAATATAATGTTTCTTCCCCAGTCAGATCTCCTCTAATTGTTTGTGGCAAGAACTCCCTGAATCCCATTTAATGATATTGGTTATTTAGCAGAAATGAGCTACTGCTCATTTCTCTTGCCACTGGGTACCACTATGAGGCCCCAAACTTTGTGGCAGAGCTGGGTACAGCTGGGGGCCAAAGGGAGTCCTGAATTAATCCTGGGACGATAGAACTTGAATGCATCCAGCTTTCTTCCTCTTCCTTTATATACAGGTACCTGTGAAGAAACCCCATTAAACTAAGTAAGTTTTAATAGATCTGCTGAGTTATGCACTGAGAATATGTTTTGCCTTTGATGAACCTAAATAATATGAAAAAATGCATCTCTATTACATTTGCTCCCTCCATGGTATATGAATAACAACAAAATGTAATTTCATTATCGCTTGGTTCATACAACATAATAGACTAGAAAGAAATAAACTGGGCTGCTTGAATGATGATGTTCTCCTATGGACATGATAAATCCATTGTTTGGGGTTAACAAGTTATGTATTATGTGTTTATTAACCTGGATGTACTGTAGGAACCCAGCCTTGGTAATCTTTACCTCTCGTCCTTATCATTAGTCCCTGTTGGGAGTGGCAGAGTTGGCCCACTGTATTTGAACTGGAGGAGTCAGCTGCTGTTTTCTGCAGCTATCAATCCTTCACTTTTCCGAATATGGCCATTCATTTGTCTGCTTAACTCGAGGATGGGCAACCTGCAGCTCCTGGACCATAGGCATCTTTCTGAGGCCCTTTTCTGCAGCCTTCAGCATCTTCTCTGAAAATGTCAGCACATTTTTGGTGGGGAAACTCATGAAAATTGAAGTGAAAGCCCTAAAATTATCACTTTCACTCTCAAATTCCCCTTAAACTGCAGCTATCAGATATACTATCAATGTCTTACCAACTCTGCAAGTTCTGTTGTTTAATGCCATCTTTGCCATTCAGGGCATTGATTGATTGATTGATTGATTGATTGATTGATTGATTGATTGATTGATTGACTGATTGATCTATTTATCAAACCTGTAGACTGCTTGACTTCCAAGGATTTTGGACAACTAGCAACTCTCAACAAACAAGGAAATTACAATAAAACTAATTAAAATGGAGAGAGATGAAGTATGGCAAGGATGACAGACCAGATGGAAACAAAGCAAGGGGCCCCACTCTCCCTCCACAAAGGCCTGGGTAGAGAGAGCCAGATCTTCATGACCCTTCTAAACAGCAGCAGAATGGGGTCACCAGAATCTTGGGCAGAATCTTACTTGAGAGGGCAGCACTGCTACAGGGAAGGAACGCTTCATCCTGATCAATGACATTTTTTAAAGAACCTAGAGCATGCCAATTGTAATGGTATGTGGGAAATTACTTTGGGAAATAAGAGTAAGAAATGCAGACTAGACAATAGTCAGATAAGAGGCAGCTCAGCCACAGAAGGAATGTCTCAGAAGGGACATTGTAACTAGGTGCTTTCAAAACAAGTCCAGCTAACAGTTGGCTGGGGTGTGTAGGGGAAGGTGGCTGGTTGCATAGTAATGCTCTTGCCTTACTGTGCAAGCCTACCAGCATTGGTAAAGCTCTGTTTCTTCCTGCTTTACCTATCCCTTTTCTGATCCCAGGGACCAGCTAATTAGTAGGCTCAGTGTCTTCAGAAGGAAAATGGCAGACTTAAAAAAGAAAACTTATCAAGATTAGAGAAGTGGCAGGCAAAGGTGTTTGGGGCTGACTAATACTGGGGAGGTCTCACTCCTTTTGAAGACTAATACTTTTTCTCCCACAACACACTAAACCCACCTTCAAAAGGAGCTAAATAACAGTTGACTGCTGGTGGTGATGGTAAGGTGTGTGTGTATGCTGTGACACAGAAGATACTCTCTTATGTCATGGTGCAGACTTCATCATCTTTCCCAGTGCCAGTTAGTAGTTAGATGGACCAATCTATCTTCAAAAATCAGATATCTAAATTAGAGATCAGCTGGAGACTTGATATTTTATTTATTTTATTTATTTATTTTATTGAATTTCTATACCGCCCTACTCCCGAAGGACTCAGGGCGGTGCACAGCCATGAGATAAAACACATAAATATACAAAATTTAAGATCAAGTAAAATGAATTAAATAAATTTGGCTGAAATTAATACTGATTAAAAACCCATAATTTTAA